GGTGACCCTTCCTCAGAACTGTTCTGAGAAAGGGTCACCAGACCCGAAACGTTAACTCTGTTTTTTCCATTACAGATGCTGCCAGACCTGCTGAGCTTTTCCAGCAACTTCTGTTTTTGTTCCTGATTTACAGCATCCGCAGTTCTTTTGATTTTTATTTTGAGATTCAATTAGGTTCAGCAACCTCGTGGTTATGCTACTGAAGTTGTAACCTGGATTGTTGGACTAATGATTTGGAGACAAGCATTCAAATCCCACCATGGCTGCTGGAAATTTAAATTAAGTTAATTAAATAAATCTGGAATTTAAAAACAACTAATATCAGTACTGGTGTCATGAAACTACCAGACTGCCTTAAACATTCATCTGGTTCACTATTTCCTTAAGAGGAAATCTTCTGTCCTGTCAAATTATAAACTAGATCGGATTTCAAATCTACATCAATGTGATTGGCTCTCAATTCCCATCTGATATATCCAAGGCAGCAGTGGATTTGATACAGTGGATAATAACTGTTGGCTTTGCCAATGATATCCAAAATCTATGAATAAATTTTTTAAAATAATACTGAGGGAAACATTACTTTTGGCTGAATATGGTCTTGGCTGTCGGAGGCTAATCATCTCAACTTCAGAAGTTTCTCAGGAGAGTGTCCTAGACCTAAACACCATCAACTGCTTCATTAATGACTGTGATTGGCTAGCTTGGAGACACTTAAACAACTAATGAGTTTCTACACGTCAAGTACTCAGCTAAAATCAATACAAAAAAAAAACAGGATGCATTAATTTTAGATTTTAGTACAACACTCATGGGTAACTACCTCCAAATGCTCCCAAGAATATTTTGGCAGCTTTGAAATGTAAGCCAGAGTTGCTTAGGAACAGATGCAAGAAACCTGTGTTAATGCACGTTTTGTTATTTGAAGTTATACTGACTTCCTTCCGAGCAGAGCTGTTTAATTGCTTCAAGTACAGCTCAGGGAGTTCGAGTTGTGTTACTGCACACAAGGCTACAATTACGAACTGATGCTCTATCATTTAATTAACAAGTTGTTAAAAAAAAACGTTAGAGGCGAAAGCTCAGAAAATTTATGCAAGGACATGAAAAATTAAGACATTAATGAATTGTGATCTAAATTCTAACAAAGAAAACAATACAAAGAGGACACCAGATTTACAGACATCACAGTTTAACATAATTATAATTTTAGCATTGTTTTGATAATGTTTATCCAACTTTAAAATGCAATACTCCAGCTCCTCAGAATAAAAATTACATTCTTCATTGTACAATAATGTACAGAATTTATAAAATTGTGAATCCTCTCCATGTTCAGGGGGTACAGGAGAATCCAAGCCTTCACATCATTGCTTACAAGAGTTTCCTGTCTAAACTCTTTGCAACACTTGAGAAAGAGGATCAATACTATACTATAACACGACATGTGTAAGAGGATTTCAGAGGGTTTGCCCTAACTGTTATATTATCATGCATTTTTGTGCCTGATGGATTCCAGAACTCCCTTGTCAGTTGTTATCCTGAGAATGAGGTGGATTTTCTGTCCATTATAAACACGGAATTACAGAATGACCTGTTTCAGAGGTGTAACTAAGTTGCATTTATCTTTTTTGCCATACAAATCCTTGGTGACCTCAAAATTCAGATTGTATTTTAGAAAACTGGATAATGAAGACTCTGCCTCATTGTTTTTCTTCAGCTTGGTACAAATACACACCAAGTTCTTTACTCTTGGCTAAAACATAAGGAATAGCTAAGAGTCCATGTAACAGTTTGCTGATGCTGAAGATGAACAATCTCCAGTCTAATAAATATGAGCTTTAGCTCTCACCTTCATTAGCATTTATCCTTGTGTTTTTAATATATGCTGAAAATTTTGCAAATATGTCAATTCCAGCAGTATTCGATTCATGGTGCTTTGCTGCAAGCTTGGGGTACCTGAAAAAGGAACATACAAATCAATCTTTGACTATTTTTAATCAGCATTCTCACATTCAACAAACACCACATTCATGAAATTGTCATGTAGCTGTAGCATCCATAGAAACACCTAATGATCTATTTTTCTTTTCATGAGGATTTATGGTTGCAACTCTGTGGCAACAATCGAATATCACTGAAAAGTTCAGAATACCCTCACTTTTTCTAACATCACTAATGTACAACTTGTCCATAAGTAGGATGATTCACTTCACATTTTCAAATTAGATCAGAATTCATAAGATGTACATTTAAGTATTACTGCAACTTTTAAATCTTCACTGCTCTAAAATGACTAACATCAGTGAAGAAAATTAACCAGCGTCAACATCAACAGACCACTCCACCCCGATCCCTGTACTTTGTCTGATACAAAGCAAAGCTCCTACTACTGAATTCTATGGAATATCTCAGTGGAAAACCTAACACTGCACCAGCATGCGCTCCTTTCAACCTCTCATACTAGCTATTCTGGTATTTTTTGCTGAGGTTTGCATGTTTTGTGACCACTCATCATCACAAGCAGTAAGTAGTCCCGTGTTGCAGCTTCACCAGGTTGATTGCTCATTTATAAGTATGCCTGGTGTGGAAGGGCATGGATCAAAGCACAGCATGGGATACTAATTGTGACTGAGCCATCAAAGTCATTAAAATAATTTAGTAAAATTAAGTAATTTACTAAAGTTTAGAGAATTCTGAGGAAGATTCCGCATACAGAATTTAGATGCTTTAAAAGAAATAGGGAGGGTGGTAAAAGAGGCGGGGAAGTGGCATTGCTAGTCAGGGCTAGTACAGCAGCTACTGAAAGGCAGTTCGAGAATGATATGTCTACAGAGTCAGTTTGGGCAGAGGTCAGGAACAAGAAAGGAGCAGTCACTTTGTTGGGGTTTTTTTACAGACCCCCTAATATTTGCAGAGAAGTGGAGGAGCGGATTGGGAGGCAGATACTGGAAAGGTGCAGAAGTCACAGGGTTGTAGTCATGGGTGGCTTCAACTTTCCAAATATTGATTGGAAACTTTTTAGTTGTAATAGTTTAGATGGAGTGGATTTTGTCCAGTGCGTTCAGGAAGGATTCCTGATGCAGTATGAAGATAGACCAACATGAGTAGAGGCCACTTCGGATTTAGTGCTTGGCAATGAACCAGGCCAAGTGTTAGACCTGTTGGTAGGAGAGCATTTTGGCAATAGGCATGAAAAAGGATAGGTACATACAGCAGGGTAAGGTTTATAATTGGGGGAAGGGTAATTATAATTCTGTTACGCAAGAACTGGGTAACATAAAATGGGAACAGATGCTGTCAGGGCAGAGCACTATAGAAATGTGGAGATTGTTTGAGGAATGCCTACTGAGTGTGCTCGATACTTTTGTCCCTGGCAGGCAGGGAAGATACAGTTGAGTGAGGGAGCCTTGGTTCTCAAGAGAGGTTGAACGACTGGTTAAGAGGAAGAAGGATGCTTCTATGAGATTTAGGAAACAAGGATCAGAAAAGGCTCTAGAGGGATACAAGTTAGCCAGGAAGGAGCTGAAGAAAGGGCTTAGGAGAGCTATAAGAGGGCATGAGAAAACCTTGGCAGATAGGATCAAGGAAAACTCCAAGGCTTTTTACACGTACGTGAGGAATAAGAGAATGACCAGAGAAAGGGTAGGGCCAATCAAGGATTAAAAAGGGAATTTGTGCACAGAGCCTAAAGAGATAGGAGAGGTACTTAATGAACACTTTTCTTCAGTATTCACAACTGAGAGGGACCTAGTTGTAGAGGAGGGCAGTGTGAAACGGGCTGGTAGGCTAGAGGAGGTCGATGTTAGTAAGGAAGATGTACTAGGAATTTTGAGGAACTTGAAGATAGATAAGTGCCCCAGGCCTGATGGGATTTATCCAAGGATTCTATGGGAAGCGAGGGAAGAGATCGCAGGGCCTTTGGCAATAATCTTTTCGTCCTCACTGTCTATGGGTATAGTGCCGGAAGATTGGAGAGAGGCAAAAGTCATTCCCTTGTTCAAAAAAGGGAATAGGGATAAACCCGGAAATTACAGGCCAGTTAGTCTCACGTCAGTGGTGGGCAAATTATTGGAAAGGGCTCTGAGAGATAGGATTTATGATCACTTGGATAGGCACAGTTTGATTCGTAATAGTCAGCATGGATTTGTGAGGGGTAGATCATGCCTCATAAACCTTATTGAATTCTTTGAAGAGGTGACCAAACATGTGGATGAAGGTAGAGTAGTGGATGTGGTATGCATGGATTTAAGTAAGACATTTGATAAGGTTCCCCATGGTAGGCTCATGCAGAAGGTAAGGAGGCATGGGATAGGGGGAACTGTGGCAGATTGGATTCAGAATTGGTTGACCCTTAGGAGACAAAGGGTGGTAGTGGACGGAAAATATTCAACGTGGTGCACCACAAGAACCTGTTCTGGGTCCTCTACTATTTGTGATTTTTGTAAATGATTTGGATGTAGGAGTGGAAGGGTGGATTAGTAAGTTCACGGACGATACGAAGGTCGGTCGAGTTGTGGATAGTGCAGAGGGACATTGATAGGATGCAGATCTGGGCTGAGAAGTGGCAGATGGAGTTTAACCCTGAAAAGTGTGAGGTGATTCATCTTGGAAGGACAAACTTGAAAGCAGAATACAGGGTTAACGGAAAGATGCTTGGCAGTGTGGAGGAGCAGAGGGATCTTGGGGTTCATGTCCACAGTTCCCCGAAAGCTGCCACCCAGGTGGATAGAGTTGTTAAGAAGGCGTGTGGTGTGTTAGCTTTCATTAATAGAGGGAATGAGTTCAAGAGCCGTGAAGTTATGCTCCAGCTATACAAAAGCCTGGTTCGGCCACATCTGTAGTATTGTGTCCAGTTCTGGTTGCCTCATTACAGGAAAGATGTGGAAGCGTTGGAAAAGGTGCAGAGGAAATTTACCAGGATGTTGCCTGGAGTAGAGGGAAGGTCTTATGAGGAAAGATTGAGAGAGCTAGGACTTTCCTCTTTAGAACGACAAAGGATGAGAGGTGACTTGATAGAGGTGTACAAAACGATCAGAGGTATAGATACAGTGGACAGCCAGGGACGTTTTCCTCGGGTGGAGGTAGCTATTATGAGGGGCCATAGTTTTAAAGTGAGTGGAGGTAGATATAGTGGGGACGTCAGAGGTAGGTTCTTTACTCAGAGAGTGGTAGGGGCGTGGAATGCATTGCCGGAGAGGGTAGTGGAGTCGGCCTCATTAGGGGTATTTAAGCGGCTATTAGATAGGCGTATGGATGATAGTATAAGGTAGGGGTGGAGGTTAGATAGACATTAAGTTTAGGGTAAAAGTTCGGCACAACATCGTGGGCCGAAGGGCCTGTACTGTGCTGACTGTTCGATGTTCTATGTTCTAGGAATCATTCAACCCGAAACGTTAATCTGATTTGTCTCCACAGACACTGCCAGACCTGCTGAGCTTTACCAACAATTTCTGTTTTCGCTGTTGAAAATAATTTAGTACTTCCCTGGTGGGAGGCCAGAAACACAAAAGATATAAACTGACTCTAAATGGTTCACCTTTTGCAACAGACACTTAATAGCGATTTTGGAACAGATGAGAAAGCCTAGTGAAAAAGGGAAAACAAATGGACTCTGATAACTTGGTTTTGTTTCTCTCCCAGTGATTCACTGATCCACAAAGATGGTTAAGTTGTCAGAATTTCAATTTCTGCCAAGTACTGAATGGCACTAGAATAGGTTTGCATTTCCAGAATAGGAAAAGGGAAAATGAAGACAGTTCCTCATCCCTACTCAAATGATCCATATAATAAATGCACAAGTAGAAGTCAGGTGAGGAAAAGAAAATGTCAGGTGAAGAAAAACATTGAAAAATAGAAATCATTCAACAGGGGCATTGAGAAATATATTATCAAAAAATAAGATCAGTAAATTAATAAAATTGAACTCAGAAGTCTTATTCACTCTCAAAGTTCTTTAAAAGAAAGTATATTGGGTAGAATTTCCCAGAACTTAAGAGGAAACCCTAAAGAAACATCTTTTCATAGTTTTAGCATTCTCACCAATGTTGTGCTAAAGCTCTGGTGCAAGATTGGGGAAATTTTACATCTATATAACTATTTTAGTGATTACATATGGCCTTGGTTGAAGTTTTATGACGCTATCTCAACTATAAAACTTCACTCATGGTATAAAATATTTACTTGAAACTATTCTAATCCATTTTACAAATGACATGTTCTGTTCTATTTGTAATCAGTTAATCAAAAGAAAAACAGAGGGAAATGTTCTGTCTAATAAAATGTTATTCTTTTCATCGCCAATTTTCCACTAGCACAAGATGAAGAATGGGACACCTGTCTCAGGTTGTATATTGTTTTCTTTCAAATCTAGCTCTGTATTCACAAAAGGGGCATTCCAGACATTGTACTTGACTGCTGCAACATGTAGACACAATCTGTCGATGTCACAGAGACCTTAAAGTCTCTATTACATTATTCATGCATATATAATTGCACCATTATTCATAGAATCCTTGCAGTGTGGAAACAGGCAATTCAGCTCACTGAGTCCACCGACCCTCTGAAGAGCATCCCACTCAGATCCACTGCCCTACCCTATCCCTATAACCTCACGGTTAGCTTGGCCAATCCACCTCACCTGCACATCTTGTGACTGTGGGAGGAAATCGGAGTGCCTGCACGAAACCCACACAGGCACAGGGAGAATGTACAAATTCCACACAGACAAGGAATCAAACCCAGCCCCTGGCACTGTGAGGCAGCAGTGCTAACCACTGAGCCACCCTGGTGGTGGTAACAGTGGTAATCTCCAAAAATAAATTTGTAGAGTGTGTGTGTAAAGGAGAGGATGTAGAGATTACTTCTACATATTAATTAGACAATGTCTGTTTTCCCATTACTGTGTTCATATATTGCTTTGACAACATACCAGTCTTTTCCCTTTCAAATTGCTGCTGAGTGAAGAATCTTTCTTCAAGCAAGACCTTAGAAAAGCTATTTTTAATATAAACATATTACTATTTCCATATCCTGCAAATTAGATTAAAAATATTGTATAGATATAACCTTCTCAAATTATCCCAAGAAAATTCATGCTCAATGTACAAGGGAAATACAAGATTTGTTTATGAAGCATTTATTTAGACCTGCTGCACTCTTTTTTTTCTACTGGGGCAGTCAAGTAACTGCTGCTGCCCTTTCCTGTGTAACTACTAAAAATCCTGTTGATAATCAACCAACAAGAGACACATTCAATATACGTAACAGAGAGGGGTCAGCAGGCAGGCCTACCTCAGTTTAATTTTATAGTTAAAGGGCCTTTAACTATCATCAGGTGAGACTTTCTCCTAGAGTAGGGCAGTATTCCCACCTCAAACAGCTGGCTAGTTGGAGGCTAGCTGCTCTGCAGTCCTAGAAGCTGCAGCCATTGAAAGTACTGCAGGCATTTATCTGGGAGTGGGGCCTCTTGTGGTGCACTGGTAGTGTCCTGATCTCTGAGGCAGGAGGCCTATGTTCAAGTCCCACCTGCATACCTCTGAACAAGTTAAATAGAAAATATTTACTAGCCTGGGAGGAACAGCAACCAAGAATGTCCTGAAACCTAGGCAACTCTGGGATTTTCCCAAGGCCATCAGGCAAGTTCCAATGACAGAGGTAGCAGAGGCATGCTGGTTGGGGACAGGGGGAAGAGGAAGGAAGGTCATGAGAAGGCTGGTCTGTAAAATCCAGTCCATAGTGTTGATTGTTATCTCATCTAATAGAGGAAATGGCACTAATAGGAGCCTGGTCATTAGAAATTTTAATACTCTATTAATACTAAACAACCACTTGTATTTGAAGCAACTTTGCAATATTATCAGATTTGAATATTGTTGAGAAAAACATTTTTCAATACCCTAATGAATGTAACATGAACAAAGAAAACCAATAAAAATTTCAACAACCAATGCCTTTTCAATGGAATAAGTCACAGCCATTTTCTGGTTTATTGCTCAGGGCAGTGCCGTGGCCAATCAGAATAAGTCAGAAATAACACGACACCAGGTTATAATCCAACAGGCTTATTTGAAATCAGAAGCTTTCAGAGCACTGCTCCACATCCACATCATGGAGTAAGGGCAAAGCGGAGAGGTTTAAATATAAACAAAGTTTGGCAATTAGCTGTCAATCATCTAATTAGTGTCTTCTCCATTGTAATATCTCTACTAATCAGAGGCTACTTGCCAACCAATCAGCATACTTTTCTTATACAGTATAAAATCCATTATTCTACTTTATATTGCCATTTGTCCTAATGAGTGCAAGGCCAGAACCTCCAATAAATTGTCTATTTACCACATTACTCAGGTTCCCTACTAGCAAATGACTCTGGAAAACCAGATTTCGCTGATGTTTTCAACCTCTCTGCAATTTTATGGTGTGAGGATTTAGATTTAGCCTGGTTTACTTGTCCTGTCCCAATGGAGGACTTTAAGTGTCCTTAAGGTGTGGACCTGTGAATACCTCCTCCTCTCTCCAGCAACTGCACAATAACTTCCATTTGCTATGACTTGTAGTCCCAGTTTTGTCCATTGCAGCATCAGGCACTGCTGAGACTTGACAGCAATCAATCGGATTGGCCCACAACTCTCAAATTCAGGACTGGCTCCTGAGTGAAGGGCGCAAGTCCTATCCCCAGGCAACAAATGCCTGTGGTCAGCCAGTATTGATAGTGAGGTATTACTGACTGACTGCTTGGGTGGCAGAAAGGGAAATCCCACCATCCTAAAAACCCTAGCCAATGTTTCAGATTAGTGACCTTTCATCAGACCTGAAATGTTAGTTGTTTCTCTTTCAGTCACTGCTTGACTTGTTAATTATTGACCACATGATCTATTTTAAATTTATTTTTCCAGCATTCACAGAATTTTGCTTTTACATTTATTCCTTTGATGTTAGGACTTCTGCAATATACTAAGCAGCAGATTTTAAAATAGCAGCTAACTTTAATCATCCATTCAGTCCTGTCTTCCAACCTATTACTTATTCCCTGTTGTTCTTTTACACTTGTTTCACTCCCCCTTTCACTTGTTTAAAAATTACATTTTACATTTAAGAATTTTACCAAATCTGAAAGTTAAGATTATTGCAGTGTGGAAATGTAGTTATAAATTTAGGGTAAATGAGGGGGATCTATTCTGGGTCCTGCCTGACATTTAACCAATCTACTGGAGTTCTTTGAAGAATTAATATATGCAGTGGATAAAGGAGAACAATAAATATACTGTACTTATTTTATGCTTTTGATAAGGGGCCTCATCAAAGGCTATTGAGGAAAATAGGAGCTTATTCATGTAGGTAACACATTGACTAGCTAATAGAAAGCAAATATTGGTGTGCCATAGGGATCAGTGCTGGTGCCTCAACTTTTTACAAATTTTATAAATGGTTTGGACGAAGGAACCAAAGCTATGGTTGATAACTTTACATCATCAGCAAATTTAGGTAGGAAAGTAAACTGTGAAGCGGACATGAAGAAGATACAAAGAGAGAAATAGGTAACTTCAGTAACTCAGCAAAGATCTGACAAACAAAGTATAATGTAGGAAAATGTAAAATTCTCTATTTTGCCCCAAAGAATAAAATAGAAGTGTATTATCTCAATGCTGAGAGACTGTCAAGCGCTGAAATACAGAGGATTTTCAGAACCAGGGTTCACTGTATAAAAATTAAAGGTGTCCCGTTATGTACTTACATTGGTGGGCACAGCATTTCCTCCAAGAATTCTTCAATTTTGTTGACATCTGTCTTGACATCTCCGTTAAAGGTCAGGAATGGAGGGTGAGTACCAGGAGCTAAATTATGCAGGTCAGCTGGTTTTCTATAAATAAGAAATAAAACTTATCAATAATTGCAACAATAATTGCAAATATACTGCAGAACTCTCAGCTCTGAATTGTTTAGTTCTCTGAAGTGAACTGGGCTAAGGCTGACAGAATATTATTTTGGTTCTATCAGAAACTGCTGAGATTTGAAACAGTTAACCAATTTACAAAAAATAACAAATTTGAGACAATTATTGGAAAATGAAATGGAATAAATAATATCGGAAATTAGAACTGTTGATCATCTGCCTCAAATCCACTTTCTTGCCTGCTTCCTGTATTCTTTGATGATTCCTTGAGACACAAAAAATCTCGGTCATAAATAATACAATGATGGAGCATCCACAACTTTGACTGGAAAAATCTTTCCTAATCTCAGTCTTAAATGATCAACCCCTTTAAACTGAGGTTGTGCTCCCATGGTCTGTGGTCCCCAGCCAGGAGAAACAATTTCTGTCTAAGTATATCCAAACCTCACTGAATATCAACATTTACAATTCTTTTATATAGGTTGAATAACTTCACACTTCTCCACATTTTCCAACTGCCACCTTAGTGATCATTCAGTTATCTTGTCTCTCTCTTCGCAACCTTCTCACAGTTTGCCTTTTCATATAGCTTTCAATAACAAACTTGAATACATTTTTTAAAAAAGCCCAAACTGCCAGAAATAGCAGTAACATTTGGTTACAACAAACGTGGATTCATTACATGTAGATTCTGGTTCCTGAAAGTCTAGATTCCAGAGTGTGAAAGAGGTTACTATAGATATAGTCAAATCATTAGTGATCATCTTCCAAAAATTCAATATTACTAACAAAATTGATAAAGCATAGTTGATGACTATTGTATACTTAAGATTGTCAGAAGGGATGGGAGATAATGTACTGTTATGGATTAATGATTGGCTAATAGACAGAAAACAGTTGGAATAAATGGGTTATTCTTGCCCTGGCAGGCTGTGATTACTGGGTACGACAAAGACGAGTATTTAGGACCCAGCTGTTCAGAATTTATTTTAATGATTTGGAGTTGGGGACTAAATTTGCATATTTTCAGATTTGTGGGTGATACAGAGTAAAGAGGGAATGTGTTACGAGAAAGATGTAAAGTGTGTCAGGATGGTTTGGACAGGCCTTATGAATGGATGAGAACATGACAGGTTAAATATGGCTAAGTGTGAGGTTATCTAATCTGTTGGGATAAACAGAAGTGTAGAGTACTTCTTAAATGGTGAGAGGTTAGAAAATGTAGATGCACAAATGGACCTAGGTGTCCTTGTTCATGAGTAATTGAAGGCTGACGTAGGTGCAGCAAGTTATTAAGGCAGCTACTGGAACATTATCCTTTATTGCAAGAGGACTTGAGTACAGGAGTAATGAAGTCTTGCTTCAATTGTAAAAGGAGCTTGGTTAGAACATATCTGGCATTTTGGACTCCTTGCCTCAGGAAAGATATTAAGCCAGAGGGAATGCAATAAACATTCATCAGATTTGTTCCCAAAATAACAGGACTTTCCTATGAGCACTGGGTCTGTGCTCTCTGGAGTCTCAAAAGGAGGAGAGGTGATTTCATTGAAATCTGCAAAATATTTAAAGAGATAGGGTAGATGCAGGTAGGGTGTTTCCACTGGTTGTGGGACAGGGTCTGGAACCAATGGGCACAATTTAACATGAAGGGGCATGCCACTTTAGGTCTGAGATGAGGAAAATTTTTTTACAACTTAGAGGGTTGAGAATCTTTGGAATTCTCCACCATTAGGGTGTGGACGGTCAGTCTTTGAGTACGTGTAAGGTTGAGGTTGATATATTTCTGATTACCAGTAGCGTAAAAGGGACGGACTGAGTGAAAGGTATTGAAGTACTTGATAAACAATCATCATACTGAATGATGCAGAAGAAGGCTCAAAGGGCCGAATGGCCTACTCCTGTTCCTATACACCTATTACTGTTGATTTCTTCACCGAACACATTAACAGATTATAAATAACTGAGACCTAACACTGATCCCTGTGGTATTTTACTATGAATAGGCGGCAACGTGCAAATGCCCAGCTTATCTCTGCCCCTATTTTCTGTCCATTAACAAGTCCACTATTCACACTGATATAATTTCCCCAACTCCATGAGCCCTTCCTTTGTGTATTAAACTTTTCTGTGGCAACTTATCAGATGCCTTTTGGAAACCATGTATACTATATCTTCTGATTTCTCTTTATCTACCATAGTAACTACATCCTCAAAAAATTGAATAAATTTGACAATTTCCCTTTCATACTACAATAATAACTCTATCAGATCAAATTAATATATCCTAAGCTGATTGTTAAAATTTCCTGAATAATAGATTTCAGAATTTTCCTGATGATTCATGTTTGGTTAACTGGCCTGTAGGTCTGTTTACTCTTTCCTTTCTCGAATAGCTGTACTACATTTTGATAGCTTTCAGTCTACTGGGAGCACTCTCCAACCTACAAAACTTTGGAAAACCAGAATTCTCCCTGGAGCAACTTCAATTAGAACCAGAGGATGAAGGTCATCAGTTCCAGATATCTGTCTTCTTTTAGTCACTTCAGCTTCTCCAACACATTTTCTCTGCTGATATTAATTTTAGGTTTGTCACTGTTATTAGCCCCGTGGGTTACCTCTGATTTTTAGTCTTGTGGTCAGCCTAATTTTCAGAAGTCTAGACAAAACATTTGGCATGTTTAACGAACTTAATACAAAAAAGGGTTCATTTTAAAACCCTTAAGAAAATAGAGAGTTAATTTTAATTCTAATTGTAAAGAATCATTCAACTTACTTGAGGAATTGATACTGTAGCCTCCCGATTTTTTAATTCCTCTGTGCAGCTCTGGATAGATCAAATCATCTTGTTGCTGAACTCTACACAATTATCATTAATGCCCATGACCATCTGACAGAAGCTGAGGTGTTAGCAGCAAGAGTCCACTTCTCTTTGAGCTTGAATGCCTCATCATTTTGCAGAATCCCAAACAGCTATCCAGCACAGAACTGATGTGGAGGTGCCAGTGTTGTACTGGGGTGGACAAGGTCAGAAATCACATGACATCGGGTTATAGTCCAACAGGTTTGTTTGAAAACACAAGCTTTTGGAGTCTCACTCCTTCTTCAGGTGTTAATGAGAGAGATAGTATCAAATATAGAATTTATAAGTAAAAGATCAAAGGTGCACACCACTGATGAGGATGTACTAAACAAATCTAAGAAGCTGTTAAATTTTTAATCAGTTAGAAGTTTTAATTGAGTAATATGTATATGTAAACCCCTGAATTCCTTTCAAGTCATGGTCCTGAGAGAACTAAAGGTTTTATCAGTGTAACGAAGTGGTGACATTTTAGGTCAGACAATGCATGTTAGGACCACAACTTCCCTCCCTCAGTGGTCGAAAATGCCTTCGTTCGCATTGCTTGTGTTTCCCGCACTTCAGCCCTCACACCTCCTCCCTGCAATAAGAACAAAGACAGAATTCCCCTTGTCCTCACGTATCACCCCATTAACCTCCGGGTTCAACGCATCATTCTCCGCCACCTGCAATCTGACCCCACTACCAAGGATATATTTTCCTCCCCACCCTTATCTGCCTTCCGGAGGGACCGCTCTCTCCACAACTCCCCTGTCCGCGCCACACTCCCCACTAGCGCCACCACCCCTGGAACCTTTCCCTGCAACTGCAGGAAGTGCTACACCTGCCCCTACACCTCTCCCTTCACCTCTATCCCAGGCCCCAAGAAAACCTTCCGCATTAAACAGATGTTCACCTGCACATCTGCTAATGTGGTCTATTGTATCCGCTGTTCCCGATGTGGCCTCCTCTACATCGGGCAAACCAAGTGGAGGCTTGGAGACCGCTTTGTGGAGCACCTACGCTTGGTGGCGACAAACGACAACACCTCAGTCAGGAACCACTTCAACTCCCCCTTCCACTCCCTGGGCGACATGTCCATCCTGGGCCTCCTCCAGTGTCACAATGACGCCACCTGGAAACTGGAGGAGCAGCACCTCATATTCTGCCTTGGAAGCCTACAACCCAATGGTCTCAATGTGGACTTTACTAGCTTCAAAATCTCCCCACCCACGGCCTCATCCCAAGACCAACCCTCCCTCTCATCCCCGCCTCCTTGACCTGTCCATCTTCTCTCCCACCTATCCGCTCCTCCCACCTCACTGACCAATCCCCACCACTACCTACCTGCTATCACCATCCCACCTACCTTTCCCAGCCCAACCCCCACCTCTCTATTTATTTCAGAGCCCGCTTCCCCTCCCCCATTTCTGAAGAAGGGTCCCGACCCAAAACATCAGCTTTCCTGCTCTGCTGATGCTGCCTGGCCTGCTGTGTTCAGCCAGCTCCACACTATGTTACATTAGAGGTGTGACCTTGTTTAGAATCTGTGTGTGTTTTGGTTTGGAGTCAGACTGATTTTATTTCTAAAGTAGGAATTTATAAAACACCACATTGACTGACTGTCTATAAATTGTGAGCTTTTTGAACAGTATTAAATATATCTGAAAATACAAATTCACCACTTCGATTCATATGTGTGATCGCACGTGTGTGTGAGAGAGAGAGAGAATGTGAGTGTGACAGTGTGAGAGTGAGTGTGAGAGTGTCTGTATCTGGGTGAGAGGGAGAGAATCTGACTCCAAACTAAAACACAACCAGATTCGAAACAAGGCCTCACACCTTACATGCATTGTCTGACCTGAAATGTCACCTCTTCCTTGTACTGATACAACCTTAGTTCTCTCAGGACAGTGACTTGAAAGGAATTCAGGGATTTACATATACATATTAATCAATTAAAATCTTCTAACTGATTAAAGATTTAACAGCATCTTAGGTTTGTTTAATACATCCTCATCAATGGTGTGCACCTTTGATCTTTGACTTATAAATTCTGTGTCTAATACTACCTTCCTCACGAACACCTGGAGAAGGAGTGAGACTCCAAAAGCTTGTGATTTCAAATAAACCTGTTGGATTATAACCTGGTATCATGTGATTTCTGACCAGCACAGAACTGATGAGTTCAGTCAACTGACTCAAGACAGTCTGAGTGACAAACAGCCCAGAAATTCAAACAGATGACTTTCTGATTAGCTACTGGTTTCAAATCACTATTCCTTTGTAGGAGGATTTTGAACGATGACACTAATTATTTTAGTAATAATACTGAATTTCATGATATTTTAAATCCAATTAAGTAAATAGAAGTTCAAGAAGTTCAAGGGTGGCATGGTGGCTCAGAGGTTAGCGCCAGGAACCTGAGTTTGACTCCGCCAATATCTGTGTGGAGTTTGCATGTTCACCCCTCATCTGCATAGGTTTCCTCCAGGTGGTCAAGTTTCCTCCCACAAACCAAAGAGGTGCAGTTTAGGTGGATTGGCCATGCTAAATTGCCCATAGTGTCAAGGAATATTCAGTTTAGGTGAATTAGCCATGTGAAATGTAGGATGACAGGGACAGGGTTGAGGGGGATGTTCTTCAGAGGGTCGGTGTGGACTCGATGGACTCAATGACCTGCTTCCACACTGTAGGGATTCTTTGCTTCTAAGTTGACAAAACACCCTCACCCTCACCGTTTGGTAATTGAGTTTGGTGGATCCTGCTGATATAAAGAAAGCGAAGATTCTTCTGGTCCAAATACATTACTATCAGTGAAAATTAATGTCTATAGAGTATCATTAGTAGTATCAATGAATATGCATAGACAAATATTTCCTTTTCTTGTCTAGTGGCCTGACTTCATATTTGAGTGACATTTTTAACGGCCTGACAAATACACAGGTGGTTAAGAAATAATGCTATTTGGGTCCAACATCAACTTAATTTGAATGGTATCTTTTTATACAAAAACAATATGGCATGTCATAGATGTATAACCAAAAGACAATCTAATGATTCATGGGAATGACATGACTGCACCCTATTCTAGACAAAAAGATTCAAATGAGATACAGAATCATACAGACTGAATAACACTCTTGTGTTTAATCACCGGAATGGAGTGGCTTTCCTCTAATGTTTGCAACATTTTATCGAGTCAGCCTTAAAAACGGCCTCAGCACCCCTTTCCCACAAATGAAAAAAAACTCAACTCGGGTGTCTGCACCTCAACCACATGAAAAATAAAGTATTTGAAAGCCATAATAAAAAGTCAGTCAACACCACCACCGGATGAGTGTTTGGACTAACTGCAATCTATGAGAGCTTAAGACAGGCGCACAAATGCTTAACTGAAACGAGATTTCCAGGACAATTTTAAACAAGGAAAGGGAAGTAGTAGTCAAAAATTCCAAAATGCAGGACTCAGGCAGCTGATAGCCCTGTCACTAACAGCAAGGTCAAAGTGGTAGTGAAGCTGGAGGGATGGGGTAACAGACTGCAAAAGTGAATGCCAAATACAAGAGAGAATGAGATATGAAGAAACAACCCAAGAGCTAAAGAAGATACCTTTACAAAAGCAAAATCCTTGAATAATCTCTTTATAAATGTTTATAGTCCCTTTTAAATGCATGTGATTTGTTAAGTGGCATGTGTTCTGCATAAGAATTTACTTCAAATGAACTTTAGTCCCTTACCTCTTTAAGTCAACTGTTGTGACATTGAACACAACACCTTTCAGCCACAAAATCATGAAGAGACGCTGAGAAAAGGGGCAATTTCCGATTCTCTCTCCATCAATGCCAGCCTGCAGGAGAATCAAACAGCAATTGATACATTGTCTGCAAAGAGGAAAAGTTCAATTTCCACATTATTTTCAACTTAGTCACATTTGAGAGTGCAGGCTCTTTTTGTAATTACAACTACACTATGTGGATGCCCGGTTTTGGTAGATTGAGAAGTATGAGGAAAAGATTAGGTAAGATCCAAGTTTTAAGATAAGTGCACTCCAGCCATTTCTAAACCATTTTCTTTCTTCTAGAAAAAGCATTTTTCCATTAGCATTTATGCTTTCCCTGTGTCTTTCCAATGAGAAATTGAAACCGATTAGTAATAAAGCCCTTTTTCTTCTAAAAGATACTGTGACATTACTCAAAGAAGGGCAGGGAAGTTCTTCCTGGTATCCTGGCCAAAACATATCTCTCGACGAGCTTTAATAAAACATGTTACCTGGTCATTAATGTATTGCTATTTGTGGGTTCTTCCTGAGTGAAACTGGTTGTTGCACCTCCTACTTACAACAGTAACCATACAACAAAAAGTACTTAATTGACTACAGAGATGTCTTGAGTTTGTGGAAGGCGCTATATGAATACAAGTTTTTTTTAAATTAAAAGTAGTAGCTATTAATGCTGATGACATCACTAGTCATCAGGTCAAATGACATTATGTACAAGTACTTGCTCCAAAGTCTTCTGGCTCTCTCTATAATGTACATTCAATGATAAGTTCTAGTTACCACGAACTGTTCCACATCCATCTTCAAACACACATACAACAGGATTTATTTCTGCCTCCAGCATACCAATGGCTTTCCCATGCATTTAATTCTCACGTTTAGAAGAAGAGCAGCACAATGCACAGTCAAACAGTGTAACATGAAGTGTTCTGTGTTTACTGGCGCTTTCACATCTGTGGATTTCAACGATTAATGATGATGATTATTAGTAATAAAGGTAAATATGCCTATTTCAAAAGCAAGTGAATATAGCAGACCCACTGAGATATGTGAACATCTAAAAGACTAATATTAGATCTTTATTGCACCCACTCACTTGACACTGAAGGCACGACTGACATTCATTAAGGCAAGCTTGGCAGACCAATGAATAACCAACATGCTGATACAGTCACAAGGAACTTTGAGATTGTAGCCAATATGCGGACACTGGTGTACTTAGCTGGCAAGGACAGTGGAACATTGTCTGTACAGAGGCTGAGTCAGTAACAGCCAGAAACAAGGACACTTGAAACTATCAGCAATATTGAATGACAGTACCAGTGAGCTGTGGCCTAAAGCCCAACACCATCTCCTTGTAATAACAACTTATAGCGATGACGCTGTGATGTAGCTCAGAAGTAGCGGATCTTGGAAACTACCTCATTATATTTCTGCACTCAAACAGGAAAGTTGGAGCTGGGAAATGGCATCAATTGCTTGCAAACTGACACTGACCTGGAGTTCCTACTACTCTCTAATCACTTCCTCCGCTTGGTCTCTGTAAAGGCTGCTAATTGGCTGAAATATATTTTGAGCTAAACAATCGAGTTTTCAAACAATTGTTGCAACAGCCCACCTATTTTAAAGTCCCACTTCTTTGTGATTCACTTATCTGAAAATTTCACCTCCTATCACAAGGCTTCCCCATGTATAACTTTATATGCATCTGGAGATGAAGATGATGACAATAATAAACTCACATCGGAAAACTCTATGCATACAGCATGTTTCTATTTGTGATTGCTAAAACTAATTTCTAACAATTCATATGTAATGGATTGGAAATCTAGGCTTCAAATCTTTAAAAAAAATTGCCCCAGACATCAGTCAGACCAGGGCAATTGAAATTTAGATTGCTATGACAATCATTCAAACAACCTCAAAAGTGAAAAGGGAAGGGCTTGTGGTCCCAAATGAATCAGCTTGCACATGCTTATTCTTATATTCTCAAATGGAATTGAAATTCCACTGATCACTGTTCTTAGCTCACTGGTTAACACACTAGTATTAAATTCTATATGAATTAGCTCAATCAAGTTGTTAACCCACTTTAGAAAGGCCCGTGAGTTCATTACTATATTTTATGCAAATAGATGAACACAAAGATAACTTTCTACAGAATTTCAATCCAATGCCCAGTTTCATTGTATTGCCAGAATTGAAGCTTCTCTAGATATTAGTGGACTGGCTACATAATAATCCTAGAATCTCTATGTGGAAACAAGTCCACACTGCCTCTCCGAGCAGCATCCCACCCAAACCCATCTCCGTACCCTTTCCCTGTTACCCTGCATTTCCAACGGCTAATCCACCTAATTTACATACTCCTGGACACTACGGGCATTTTAGTATGGCCAATCCACCTAAGCCGCACATCTTTGGACTATGGGAGAAAAGTGGAGCACCCGGCAGAAACACGCAAACGTGGGGAGAATGAGCAAAATCCACACAGTCACCCGAGGGTGGAATTGAACCCAGGTCCCTAGCACCATGTGGCAGTAGTGCTAACCGCTGAGCCACTGAGCTGCCCCAACTTGTTCCTATGTTTGGAACCTTGTCCCTCTGTTATTCATAATAACTTGTTTTTAAAATAATTAACACTGGAATCCAATTTTTAATGGCCTATTCTTCTGCTTCTGGTAATCATATACTTAGCGCATCAGAAGTACAGAAGGAGATTTCTTCCTAACTGACCAAGAAACTTTTAGTATTCGAGTTTCATTTGGACATGCTCAAAATCTTGCCTTCTAAGTCAGAAAGGTAAATTTATCTGAACGCTCCTCAAACAGTTTTGTTATTGGTCCCAATATTTTCATCAGAAGGCTTTGAAACTCCTAATGTAAACATCAGCACACATTAGACCTGCAACTTGCAGGTATGATATATGCTTCATCCAAAGAATGTGATGTTATCAGTGTCACTATTATTACATTATTTTCTCAAAACCTAATGCAGTTCCTTTTGGTTTAGATGTAAAGGTAACATCTTTATTCTGATTCCAAATGAACTGCGGGGCAGAAGTTTCTCGTGATAACAAAATAACTACTGTGCTTTTATATTATCTACAGGTTCCATCTGTCTCTGCATTTTCTGTCAATAAAGAACAGCTGGGTCTTTGTTAGAACACCATTCACTTTTTGTTGAAGAACAGCTGATACCTTAGCTCCCCATAGAATGCATTTCACTGGAGGCTGAAAACAAAAGTCCTGCAAATATTGTACAGGCCTAATTTATTGATTTGGTAGGCATTCTATCACAAAGAAATCAAATGCAATCTCAACAAATATTAAGAGCAAAAATATAATCCCAATACAATTAAAATTGCATGATAGTGTAATGAGAAGTATTTTGATTGATTGGAATGCAGCTGTTAGAATTTACAGTTATTCTTCTCACCCACACATCATACATTTGCAGTTAGTTGTTTTCACTTACATACTGCTCCTGAACTTCCCACATTATTTGTTTTAATGATCACTGTAATAGCCATAGCAATAGCAATGCTATGTAACATTGGTTTTCATGTCTTAATACACTAACATTGAACACCAATAGATTAGAAAAAAAGCTAATGAGTAGTTCTGGGCTTACCCTTAGCATCAAATATCAATCTAGTATTCAAAAATCCTCCGTCCTGCACAGAGCTGTCATATCACACCTCCCTTAATCATGTGCATCATAACTTTAAATTGTCACAGCAGAAAGTGCAATCTCAAAGACGTCAGACTTACAAAACATTTCACATGGAAGAGTAAAAAGATAAAAACTCACCCTTATTTCAGCTCCCATTCCAAAGGCCTGTGGTTTTTGGCTTTGTCCCTTCATCTGACACCAGGCTGTGATTAAGTCATTCTGTTTCCAACCTAGGTGTTATATTTAACCCCATAATAATTTTCGAACTTACGTTCATGCCATCATTAATATTGTCAATGTCTACCTAATACCATCAACAGACTTCTCCATTTATCTCTGCTCATCTACTACTAAGATATTTATTCATGTCTTTGTTGCCTCTAGAAATGACTACTACAATGTACTGCTGGCTGCTCTCCAATATTTTACCCTCCATAAATTTGATGCCATCCAAAATTCTGTTGCCCATGTCTCCATTTACATCCACCACCACCCCCTCCCCCAACGCCCCTCACCCTCATTCCAATCCTGCCCATCACTCCTGGACAATATATTGATTTTAAAATCCTCATCTTAGTTTTAAATCCCTCCAAAGCTTCATCCTTCCCTACTTCCATAATCTCCTCCAACCCCCAACTCTGACATATCCCTGCTACTCTAATTTTGACTCTTGCTTTTCCCAATTTTAATCACTTCACTAATTGTAGCTGTGCTTTTGTTGCCTAGGATCCAAATTCTTGAATACCCTCCCTACACATTTCCACCTCTGTAACACACTGTTCTGAAACACTCCTGAAAACTATTTATTTGACTTGGCCATCTGACCCAATACCTCTTAAGTGACTCAGTGTCATTCTTCATTTTATAATGCCCCTGTGAAGGGCTGTGAGATTTTTAAAGCTCCTATATGTCGTTGTTGCTTATTATGAAGAAACGTCTGGTCTTCACTTCACACTATTAAATATGAATACAAAGAACCTGTGAGTACCAGAATGCAGATATGACATCGGACTAGTCTGTAGTGATGAGACATCTTTTAGATTAAAGTAGGATGTTCTGCTATTGCTTCACTAATGTGTGGTACAGTTTTTTTCTGATTTTGGCACAAGTCCTAAGCCATTATTGAGATAGACTTTATAGGGTCAAATGGGCTGGTTGTGGCAGTGGCTAATACTAGGTGGTCCATCAGATTTATTCCAAATAAAATTTTCACAACTGTTTTGATACAAATGAGTGACTTGCTGGATCATTCTGAGAGAACACAACAGTCACCTACATTGGAAGCCCCATATAGGCCAGACCAGAGGACAAAGTATTTCCTTCCATGATGGGCAAGTAGTGAATCAGGCATGTTATTAGAATATTATGACAGCTTCATGATCACTGTTTACAGG